CGGTGATCCAATCAGGGATTTTCATGTACTCCTTGAGATCCAGCTGAAATAAAAACAGGGTTGAATAAAAAACGGGGTCTAATGAAAAAAAAACTTACCAAATCTGAATCGAAGCTTAGTAACTTCTCCACTAAGTCCATATTCTTGAGAACATCATCATCGTGTGGAAGACGAATACTTCTTTGCCGCCAAAAGGTGGCATCGTGGGAGCTCGTTTCAGAGCTAGTTTCTCTCTGAAAATAAAAAGAGTTCATTATCAACTTAATATACACTTACGATCATATACAGAAAAGTATCTCTAACTCTTTTAATGAAACAGTTCTCTTCAGGGGACCTATCGTTGAACGGTTTGCCCATCATCATGAGCAATGCTGCACAACATTTTCGGCAAAAAAACAAACCGCAGGCAATTTTCCCTATATTTTTTTGGAATTCTAATGTAGATTTTAATGGCTCCAACTGTATAGGCAGGCAAACCTCATCGAAGCTGAAATCAAAGAACAGTTAATAAGATAACAATTAACTTACTGAAACTCCTTCTGGGAGGTGAGATGGGAGAGTGATATATAAACAGTAGTTTTTAATCTACTGATATATATACCCACATTTCCAGCGTTGTCTATCCCCATCAGTTGGCTTGTGAGGCCAGAACGAAGCCGGAGTTTTACGGCGGCATATAACGGTGTTTAGAGGAAAAAAGGATTTATTAGCTTCATTTGACAAAAAATATACTCACGGTAATGGTAACGTTGAACAACGTTGAACAGCTTTTGCAGCTGAACACGTTTCTCGGTAACTCATGGCCGTCCGCATCACTAAACAAGGTACATTTGATGGGGATGAGAGGCACATCTAATTATGGCAAACAACTTACCGATCTTCGCACATTCTCAAAATATATGCACATGTGAGTCCCCTATTGACGTCATCTGCCTTTCGAGGAAAGATGATGTCGTTCACTCTGTATGCGATGTCCTTAGCCGAGAGAAACAGCTTCAAACAGGCTATTTCCGTTTCAGGATTTTGGGCGCATATATGATTGAAAAAGCGCTCGGCGGTTTCCCATGCGAGTCTCATGTCCTGTAATTGTAATGTTGAATACCTATAAAAATGTCCGAAAATAATTACCGAGCCGGCATCAGCAAGGACAGCAGGACACTTATCGCATTCCGGAAAACTGAAAAAATATTATTGAAAAGAAATAAAAAAAAAACCATAGAAAGCGGAACTCACTCGAACCATGAGCACTGCGCTCCGACGAAGCACACAAGAAGCGTCGCCTTCCACATGTTCGGTTGATAGGGAGAACTGACGGTCAAGCCTTTTATGCGCTCTCGATTGGCAAAAATCTATTCTAATTATACTGATGAAGATTCTAGCTGTCAATCAGAGATGCATGTTGATCAAAAATGAGTCTCCTGCTCGCCTGATTTTGGTCTTCATATGCAATGCTTCAAACATGTTCTTTATCAACATTCAAGAATAGATAAGAAGTAGATGATTTGTGAATCTTTGACTCAATTTTAGTTTTGATAACAATGTGTGCAGAAACAAAAATTTGATAAAATCATTTATTTCCGCTATAAAATGTATTAGTAAACAATATATAACGTATTATGCACACAATAATATCTTATCAATTGTGAAGCATTCCTTTAAGTGCCAGGCATAGAGAATTTCTAAGAAACATTTGTTGAATTGCACGGTCAATACAGAGAGAAGTGGTACGAAAACCTTCAAGCATGCGATCAACGATTTTCCTGTCTGTTATCCATTTTGGATCATGACGACGACGGATATCTTCAAACTTGAGTCGATAAATGGTACGAATGGCTGAGATTCGCATGTCCAAGAACGCTATGGCGGGAGGGAAGTTCTTTTCAAAGAATAGCGTGCTATTTAGGTTACGCATTTTACTGCGTGGTTCCCTCAGCTCGTAGTACTCCTCGATCTTGGAGGCGGCTGCGATTTCCTCTCTGCTGGGTTCCTTATAGTTTGTCCAATTTCGGGGTGGGGCAAAGCCTAACACAGCACGTAGCTCTTCAATACCAATGACGGCTTGCGCTTCGCTCATCAAATTTACATTAAAAATTCGCGCCATTCCGTGTCGAAGAATGTCACCCGATAACAACTCGTGCTCTCGATTAGTGAGGCAGGTGGTGGCTATCTTCTCCAGCTCGATGTTCATGTCGGAACGTGAAGATGGTGTGGTCGCGGAGGCGAAGACATGTATACTGTCTACTGGAGCAGCGGTCGTTGATGTAGAAGGGGTGCTTCTAGTGCTGCTTAAAAGATACAAGTGCATGTATATGTATTACACAACTTTTTGAAACTCACCAGTTTCCAGTATTTTCAAAACTAGAAGACAGTAATAATCACAAATATGTGTACCAAAATCTTGTATTTGAAATGTTGAGCATTTAATTATATTATCTTCTTTACCATTATTTTTTAGATAATTGATAACTTCATGAGGTGGATCTAATCCAAAGGAATCGAAGTAATAACTTTTCTATTTCATCTCTTTACAGCAAACCCAATGAGTACCCCTATTATTCCAATAATCGAGATTCACAATTCCAACTTCCTGCTAATGTATTTCATCTGGGAGAGCGTTTCTCATAAAAACACCGCGGAAATGTTTTATTTTCAACTCCTTCACGAGCTTTTCGAGATCAATATACTTCATTTATAACACCAACAATATTCGAAAAAAGTTGAAAAATTAAAAATGGGCAATATGGTTTGCAGGCATTTTGACCTGAAAATGGAATTTTTCGAAAATGAGGCATTTTCTAGTAATTAAAACACTAAATGGAATTGAAAATGTTGGAAATTGTCAAAAACAGCAGAAAATCAAGTTTGGGCAGAAAGCTTATTTCGTACAACTCGTGGCTTCGGTATTAATTTGGTTCAGTGGTAGTTTACTTTTATTTATATGTACGTCACTGTGTTATAAAACAATTGAGTTTTAGATGAAGGTTTTATTCAAAAATATATATTCAAAAACAATACAAACAATATTCAACCTTTTATGATCTGATCCTTTCTTACTACTACTATCGTTTCAAAAGTATGAAAATCGGAAGAAAAACGATTTCTAACACTTACATGTTGTTTTTGTCACGCTTGTTAACTAATTACAGTGTTATAGCACCTGAAGGCACTTTCTCCATCTATTTGCTTTGCAGTATCTATTGCGTGAACAATTAGTCAAATTGTTTTCTATGGCTCTCTGGAAGCAAGAGCAGTCTTTTTTCAGAGTTCCAATGCAATTCATCAAATATTTGAAAGAGCTTGTAACCTCCGTTACCTCGAGATCTTTATTAGGGAGACAGTATTTTTCCATTGAGATCTGAAATTAAACTGTTATGAAATTGGCCCACCTAATCTTTTCTTACCTGCTCATTAGGCAATTTCTGACAATCAGGGCTACAACTCTTTTCTGAGATGAATGAAACATCATTAGGTAGACTTACAAAAAAAACTCACAGCAGGAACGGGGTTTCCATCTCACTTGAATTTCTCGCTCACTCCAAGAACGACGGTGACATATTCAGCACTGGTTAAGCTGAACGTCGTGTCAATCATGACACAGTTCCCAATGAACGGAACGCTGCCACTCTTATTGACAGAAGAGAGGTAAGATTCTGAAAAACATGAATACTTCCGGTTTTTCATCTATGTTACTTATTAGTTCCTCTCCTTCAGCTCTGGTCATATGAGTGAGCCTTATGATATCAGTTCTGTAATCAAAGAGATCACCAACTTCCGATAACGATGATTCATATCAATCTATCGCT